TGAAATAGTTTTTCCTATGGTTCAACCTAGACCTTCCCCGCTGCAACTTGAGACTATTACTCCTTGTTCTGTCATCCTGAGAACAGACTCTCTCCATCCTCTTTGGAACCCCACTTCAGGTAGTTCAAGGCTGCTATCAAATCCCCCATGACTCTTCTCTTCTGTAGACTAAATAAGCCCAAATCCCTCAGCCTCTCCTCATAAGTCATGTGTTCCAGCCCCCTAACAATTTTTGTTGCCCTCCACTGGGCTTTCTCCAATGCATCCACATCCCTTTTGTAATGGAGGTCCTAGAAGTGTACTCAATACTCCAGATGTGTCCTCACCAGGGCTGAATAAAGGAAATAAAGGGTGTGATGCTCCTCCTAATATGCTGTTAGCCCTCTTGGCTACAAGGACACGCTGTTGACTCATACCTAGCTTTTCATCCACTGTACTCCCCAGGTGTTTTTCTGCCGAACTGCTGCCTAGCCAGTCGGTCCCCAGCCTGTAGCATGCTTGGGATTCTTCCATCCCAAATGCAAGACTTTGCACTTCTCTTTGTTGAACCTCATCACATTTCTTTTGGTCCAATTCTCCAATTTGTCTAGGTTACTCTAAATCCTATCCCTACCCTCCAATGTATCTCCCTCTCCCTCTAACTTAGTGTCATCTGAAAACTTGCTGAGGGTGCAGTCCATCCCTCATCCAGGTCCTTAATAAAGATGTTGAACAAAACATCCTGTTGAACATTTCATCCTGACTTGATTAACTTTATTAACACTAGCAAATTTTCCCTACTCCAATACATCCGATGAAGTGGGTTTTACCCACAAAAGCTTATGCCCTAATAAATCTTTTAGTCCCTGAGGTGCCACAGGACTCCTTGTTTTTTCTAGAATACAGTGCATGTTGGTACATATCTTACTACATATTCCATGTATCAGCCAAAATATCATTCATATAAGCAGGAGGCTGTATCAGATAAATGATAAGTAACATTCCTTTAAAAATTGCAGAACCATGGGATAAATTGCTTTTATATTGCAAATTTGTCAGCCTCGCCTGCAGTCTGCCCACTACTCCACTAGAGCTATTTTAATCATTCCAAACTGCTTAACCAACCAATTGCTAAGAAAAGACAACCTGACAAAATAAGTTTGTCCCTGCAAACTGCAATCTCATCCCCACATTACAATTCAGCCCCAACCTGGTTGGATGTGCTGCCCCTCCTCCACCTGATATGTTTAAAATTCAATATCTTGTGAGACAGGTCAATTGGAACCTGGGGCAGCCTGGAAATGCCTCTTTCCAATACAATACTGTGCTTGATTCTATTGCTTGGAAATCATAAGACAATTGATATTAAAGCCACACGTGACTTTTAGAAAAACAATTTTAAATACTCTTAAAGCGATCTTAGGTATCTCGGTTATTTTTCTTTACACCCCATGTCCATACACATAGATTCGTAACAGTAAAGCAGCCTACTTTTATTTGGGGTGGGCATCAACAACAATTAAAAGTAATAATACTTTAAAAACCTTTTCTAAAAATATTCCTGTAAGCCACATGGTACAAACAAAATACTTTTCATCACAGCATGACATAAAAGTGTTACTGGAACCCATATGGGATGACCATACAACTTTCTCAGGGCTCCATTACCTGTGAACAATGCAGTCATCCCAAAGGTGTGCCAATAAAACAAACATTGACACCACACTGACCATCATGTATTCTCACAGTTATTAAGCATCCATATAGTTCATTTAAAATATATTAGGGATGTCAAGCGATTAAAAAAATTAATTGCGATTAATTGCGTGCACTGCAATTAATTGCGTGCGATTAATTGCGTGCTGCGGCAGTGTTTCAAAGGGGCAGCACCACAGGAGCCGGGGATGAGCTGGGACTGCAGCTGGTCCCCAACTCCTAATGCGCTGCACCTTTGAAGCTCCGGACCAGCACTTCAAAGGGGCAGCGCTGCACGGAGCCAGGGTTAGCCAGGGACTCCCGCTGATCCCAGGCTCCTAATGAGCTGCCCCTTTGAAATGCTGGAGTGGCGCTTCAAAGGGGCAGTGCAGCATTAATGCCCGCGATTAACGCGTTAAAAAATTAACACATTGATCCTTCCCTGCATTAATTGCAGGCATTAATGCACATCAATTGACAGCCCTAAAATTTACACAGTGCATTAGAACACATAGAAAAAGATATGTCCCCGACTCAGAGAGCTTCCATTTTATAATACATAGGTTTGTCAGACAGCTCTGTTAAAATTGCAACATTGGAGTGTGAACTTATCCAATGGCCTAGTGGATACCTAGATCTTGACTCTACCAGATGGGAGAGTCAGAATAAATTTCCCAATCTTCTGTCTCTCAATACCTGGTCTACTTTGGGATTCATTCCCTGGAGAAAGACAGTGCTTCAACTGTAATGTATCCACTAATAAGAAAGATATTTATAGGTTTTGCAAGCAACCCCAGTCCTCGTAGGCTAGAAGGCATTGTCTACAGGGCCAAATGAGGGATATGTCATTATTCCATAGGGACAGGGCAGGACTGAGGCATAGGCGAGCCGGGCAGCTGGCCAGGGCGCCAACCCACAGGGGGCGCCTAATGGCAGCTGTAAGGAGCCGCGTGCCTAGCGCCAGCCCCGCGGCCCCGGGCACGCGCGCCCTTGCTCCCACGGCTGTGGGGCCCTGCGCGGCCCAGCACATGAACCAGCAGTGCTGGCTGGGCGCAGCTA